GATGTCGCGCGATATGACGAATCCAATCAGTAAATACATCAATTCGTCGCCCTTCAAAATAGCACGATACGGTCGCACACCAAGAGACGGCCCGCCAAAATATGCCCCTGCAAATTGGTGATTGTAAACCTGGGATGGCCCGAAAATTTGGGAAAATCTCGAAATCGCCGTCCCTGAAAAGGGCACCACAATGGGCAACAGCGAGAAAAAACTGGTTCCCCGGCAATGAGGAGGAGCCTCAAGTCGACTGAAGTGGCTGCAGGGGCGAGAGCGTCGCAACAAGCACTTTGGATTTCTATTTATTGCTAGGCATGGGTTCCAAGCAAAACGCGTGGATTTTTGAAGGGCGAGTGGTTGTGGTTTGGAGTTAGGAGCCTAGAAAAATTCAGGAAAGTCTGAAGAACCTATCGAAAAAATCGAAAATATTCCCGGATTTATGGCTCGGCTGGGACCGATTAGTCGTATTGAAAACATTAAGCTATTTGCCGGGAAGCTCGACTATTTTCTCTCGCTGATTTTTCATCACGTCGATTCCATGAAATTGGCAACCCATTTTAACTGCCATTATTAAAAAAAGTACTCTTCGCCGCTCTACAGGTAAAAAAGTAAAAAAATATTAACTTGATCAGTTCGATAAAAAATCGGCAAAATGAACGTAAAAACGGATCCTTCAAATTTAGATGCCCAGCGACAGCTCAAAGATTAAAAGCGCACCGGTCTAGAGCGACTCATCCCGGGGGCCAATAACAGCGGGTCAGGGGCCACCGCCGGCGGCAGCCGTGTAGGAGCCCGAGGGAAGAAGTGAGAAATTGCCCCCTTACACGCCACAAAATACCGCCTTCAAAACGCAATGTCGGCCGCAAAATGGGTCCTCAAATGAGCTCGAGCTTTACGAGGCCGGGGAGCATTCGCAGCATTACCGATTAAAGTGCTATGACCAATTATAGGCGAGAGCAGCTTGCGGAATTCGAGGCGCATCTTTTTTCAAGGCTGAAGCTCTCGTTAAAGGGATAGGGAAGGAAGGCAAGGCTCCATAGTCTTTATCTTCCTTTCAACGTTCAAGCCCACAATTAAAATGTGGTTTTCAATTCTAGGCGAGAAAATATGGAAAGGGCGGGCATCCAGGCGAGGCGTTTAGTTGAAGGCGCTCGTTAATTGGTCTGCAAAAAAATGGTAGCCGCGGCGAGCGAAAAGTTTGGAACGCTGCAATTCCGCTAGCGATAGGGCGGGCCAAGTTCTGGCTCTATTAAATTCAGCGGCGGGCGGGGGGGGGGGAGCATCATAGCCCCCCGGGGGTCCGTTGGCCATAATTTCGAGGGGCCGAGAATATGGAGGGGGGGAGGGCGCGTCTCCGGGCGGCCGGGAGCGCCCTTTTTCTCATTTCACACATCATACTCGTGTGTCCAGCCAGCCCCGAGGCGGGTGGGGGTGAACGACGAGCGGGGTCGCGAGCGAAACCCGATGAATATTCACGGAGCGCGCAAATCGTCTCGGCTGGTGTGTCGCGGCACCGGATGGAGGAGCGGGGTGGAGCTAATTTTTTTGGGGGTTGCTAATCGGAGCGGCAAAAATTCCGGCATACAAATTTACAAACATTAAGCGGGCCACAAAACCGGAAACTAGTGTTTTCGTAAAGTTGGGGCGAAAAGTGGTAGCCGTCGCTTTTCAGGATTAACGGGTATTACAGGTATTTTAAACACTTAACGGAGGAAGCCCAGTTTTCAAAGCTATATGGGACCAAAAAGAATCCTGCGTCAAAAACGGCTTTCAATTTTTCAAAATTAAAGAGCTGAGGAATTTGGGAGCGACATTGTCGACCCGGGTAACAAAAAAACTATTTTTTTATTTTAGACAGCCAGCTTTAGTGCACCTTTAAAGAATCTTTACTAACCTACTTACACTATTAAATTCTGCAAATCTAATGCTCACAACCAAAAGGAAAACGAAAAGCCGGGGAAGACAATAAATTTGTCGGCAGGCTCGGCGAGACCTAACCCAAAAATTCTGCGCCATTCATCTGCCCTAGCGGCCAAACCCTAATTACGCCAAAGGGCAGGTGGATCTCCCACGATGCCCAAAAAAAGGACAAGGTGGCATAAAACCCCCGACAACGGCCACGAACACACGACTACTAAAAAGAAATTCCCAAGGCGAACGGGCCAGGCAGTCCCGGAAATGAGTTCCACCATTTTTTGCTCACAAACAAAAAGAAACACCCACGATTCGCCGCCGGCAGCTCCTCCCGCGATTCCGGCCACTTCTTGCTGTCGGTGACCACGGCGGCGTCGACGGGTTCGCTTCTCGGGCTGCGTTTGGCGGCTAAAAATCGAGCATGAGCGGCGAGGAGCCGGGGAGAACGAACCGTTGTGGCCGTCACGAACGATGATGACTTGACGGGCGCTCAGCTGCAAGTTCTCCTCGACGCGGATCACGGACACGCTCGGCGACGTCTCGGTGCTGTAATGGGGAAGTTTCGGGTGTGTATTTTTCGCGGGCCATGTGAAAACGTTGCAACGTTCACCGCCCAAAAATATAGCTCTCAAAAAAAGCTGACCCTTGATCGAAGGTGCCGTTGAGGTGGTCGTGCGACTTGGTCGGGGCGGCTGAAAAAAGGAATTATTACCATTCGAAAATTTCTAAATTTCAGGAATAGTAAAGGAGGAGCTAGAGGAAGGGAGAAAATTCTAGTCAACGCCTAGACAATTCTAAACCCGAGAAAAGTTCTAAACAGGTTTTGAAAAAGATCAGATCCCTTTTCGAAAATTTCTGGTGCCAGGAATAAAATCAGATAAGAAGAGCTAAAAGAGGGGAGAAAAAATATTTTGAAAATAGCAAATGTAGTCAAGGGCCAGAGAGACTTCTAAAGACTAGAAAAGCACTTAATTCAACCAATTTCTGAGCCCAGATCCCGAAGTGAAGCTAGAGGATGAAAAAATCGTAAATTTAGTCAAAGCCTCGCATCTCGAAATCGACATAATTCTAAATAGAAAATCACGCCGAATTTCAGTAAATTTCTGAGGTCAGCTAGAAAAGACAGACGGGGGGTTCTGGGCCGGCGGATTTTCCGTCTCAGCCCCGGGCTTCCGCTAATCATGAAGTCAAGGCGGGGCAATGTTTCAAAGGGTTGAGGGCCACGTGGTCGAATTTAATTAATCTGGGCCAGACAGCGATCATTGAGCGACAAAAGAAGATGCGAACAAGATCCTGGAACGCGACAGAGAACGCAAAAATGTTGAATTTTGTTCAATTCATGCCGGGCCCGAACAACAAAAGAATCCGGGGGCCAGGTTGGTGCGAACGATGGCCGTGGCCAGCCGATCGCGCCGGCTGGAAGGCCCGGACACCGGGAAGAGTGAAACGGCAAATATTTGGGGATCGGGAACTGAGGAGGGCCCCCTGTGGCCACCGATCCGCCGGGGCTTTGGCCTAAATGTGAGGTCGATGGATATCCGAGTGGTGCGAGATGGGTTTTGGCTTCTCGAAAGGTTGAAGCAACGCGCGTGAGTCATGAAAAGGGCAATTCATGCCGGCGAATAGATCAAGCTTAAAATAAGCAGAATACAGACTTTTAGAAGCGACGAAAGCGTGATCCAAATAAGAATAAGAATTCCTTGCTGCACAGCTCCTTCAAAAGCCATTCCCTCTAAAAGTCTCTCAAAAATATTGACCAAGCAATGAAATTTATGACCCTGCTTTCACGCCTTATCTGGATAGAATGCAAAAAAGGACCCCAAAAGAGTCGTATGGGGGGACCTCAAACCAAAAGGAACCCCGAATCGTCAGGATAGCTAAACTACCCCAAGTCCCGCAGCTAAAATAATAATTTGACAAGCCAAAGCGTCAAGTGGGGAATATTCGGAACGGTCTCGGCTTTTACAACGACACCGGGCTCTCGAACTGATGGCTGCCCCTTGCGAACAGCACAACAATTTCGCTCTCAACCCTGGAAAACTCGCGAACCCCGTTCGGCGCCCGACACGTAGCAAAGTACCTAGCTTTTCAAGAGAGTACAGAATTGAAATAGAATGGAAAAAAACGATCAATCGTTCTAGAAGACCATTTTTGATAGGGAGGAAGAGGAGCTTGAAAAGGCCTTTAAAACAAAGCAAAACGCACCGCTCAGCTCAGAAACATCGGCGCTGAGCCGCCCGTTCTTCGTGCACATCGCCTCTTCGTCGTAGCTCTGGTGGCGCTTCAGCTCTGGCAACGAAGGCGATGGCGGGCACTTTGTGGTGGTGCGCACGAGGTCGGCGCTTCCGCTTCTAGCACAAAGTTTAGAAACGGTATCCTTTGACCTACCGCACGATACCGTTCTTGTCGCGGTCCTTCTTCAGGTTGCGCCATTTCCAGGGGCGAAGGAGTCGCAGCCAAAACTTGGACGTTCGTAGGTAGAGGGGGAATCGAGCCCGGTCGTTGCCCCTGGAAAAAAACAACTATGTAGACAATATGAAAACGCCGAAACATAAACAAGGAATTTTTTGGAAAATGGCTCTGGAAATTTCAAGATTTTGGATTTTCTGAAAAAAATGGAGATTTTTTGGGACACAGCATTATTTTTTGGAAAATGTTATTTGTTCCGAAATCTATCGAATCAGCTATCTCGTATGGTCGCATACACCACTCCGTTTGAGAGGTACACCAATTTCAGTTAATCTAAGTAAAAGCTAGAGCAAAACATACTTGTGGGCAGCGGTGGGTTCTGTGAAGACGCTCATTATTGTCGATTCGTCGGCAGGCCCTGGTTCATCGCACGCGTCCTCGTCTGTAAAAAAAACTTGATTAGTCCATCAAAAAATACACAGACACGATGAAAACGTCGAAATCAAAGAGGCAAATAAGTTAAAGCTATTCTACGTTAAGATTAGCGCAAAACAAACTCATGGAAGAGTTCTGTGCAGCCAAACTCGAAAGAAAAGAAGAGCAACCGAAATGACAAAAGCGTTCCCTTCGGCGGCAACAAGCGCAATGACTGCACCGAGGCGATGAGTCCAAACGTCGATCGACCACTCAATCAGATGCGCAACGCGGGGCGCTGGGGGCGGTATTTTGCATAAGTCGCCGGCTGCGGGGCCACTAACGCATACCTCTACACCAGCCGGGGCGGAACGATGCGAACAACAAAAGATCAACAGCTGCAGCCGGCATGCGGGAAAAATAGGCCGACTAGTGCCGTGTGCAACCCCCAGGGGCCGAAAAAAATAGATCAGGAGCAATTGCGGGGTGTGATTGGTCAACGCGGGAACTAATGGCATTGCACGTCTAAAAAGTAAACTGGGTTCTTTCGCATTATCGGGGGGTTTCTTAGGATCTAATTTATCACGTGCAAATAGGGGTAGTGTTTCTCACAGTTTTTTACAATCCTAATTTCATTACAAAATGCGAAAAATATGGATATTTCAAACAAAAATGGCAGATGTTTGACCAAATCCAGACGGTTCAAAAAAATTTTAGATGGTTTTTTTTAGCTTTAATATAGCTACATTCTACTCAACCCAGTAATAAAATACTTCCTGTGAAGTTAGTAGGCATTTGTAGACATGCACAAAAAAACTGCCCCCCCGATAATGCGGCAGAACCAAAAAGTATATTGCAAAACAGGGACGAAAAAATGCGCTGTCATACGCAGCCCAAAATTCGCGTGTGGCCTGGAATGGAATTGGAATCGAGGTGGGAAATGTTGGCCAGCCAAGCCAAGCACGACAATGCGTCATCACTAAAGGGGGCAAATTTCACGTCAATGAATCAGAAAATGTAAAAAATTTGCAAGAAAAAGGCTGTTGCACCCTACGATCTGGGTTTCTTGGGGTTCCAATCCCACCCGTCTGATCGTGTTTATCTTTTCCAGTGTTTTTGTTATCGCATTTCTGCCCACATGGGTTAGCGGCCAAAATAAGCGGCAATTCGAGGGGGGAAGGGGGTGTCCGCGGTTGCTCTTTTATTTTAGAGTTCGAAAAAGGAGCGGTGCCGCTGTATCGAGGCGGCAAAGGCATTGATTTGAGGCTCAAATTTTGAGCAACAACTAGGGACGCAGAGAGGTCGAGCTCGCCGAAAAAATTCCGGCTCCAACAGCTGAGGAATAGAAATTGGAGATGAGAAATAGAAAGCCGAAAAGCGGCTAAATTGTACTTTTCCGGAAATGAATTTTCGATTTATCTATAGAAAAATACTCCATGCAGCAAATAGAGTTTCAGGCTCACTTCAACGGCTTTGAGCGCGTCTCAAAAATTGAAGCTACCTGAAAATAGCTATCCGAACAGCGTGAGAAAGCCGCAGCTGTAACGAGCACGACCCAGAGGCCCCGGAAATGTCCAGGGTCTCGAGTGCTCAAGCTGACCCGGCGCCCGGATTGATGGACGGCCGGCGGGGAGTCGAGCAGCATCGACAAGACAGCCAATCTGATCGCCAATTCGTAGCCCCCCAGGGGCCCGCAACGAGGAGTAATGAATTATCTAGCCAGCTGGCTGGCCCTTGCCCTGTTGCTGACCCGGCCGCCCAAAGGAGATGCTCATAAAAATGACGCGAGCAAAAAGGAAACGTGCTGCTGGGGCGCTTATCTAAAGCGCGGCCGGCCAAGTTGGGCGCGAATGTTTGCCTAAAAAAGGCCGCCCGGGTTCGAAAAATAATTCTGAAAATCGGGTTGGGTGTTGTCAAGAGGGCGGTGGACAACGGCCAGAACTGGTTTCTGGCGCGCAAAAACGCGCTGTGTGACATGGTTGTCGGAGATTGGATTACGCGGCGCGTTAATCAAGAATTTTGTGGTAGCGTTGGAGAATCAGATATGAGCAAGTAATGAGTATAGACGATAAAAATCTTGGAAAAGCTCGGCACAACACGATGACGTTGCGATATCATAAAGGTTCGTCTGAAAAACTAAACCACTGTATCATTATCTTTAATCTTTTTAAACGTAAAACCTTAAAACAAACGATGGAAAACATTAAAAATAGATTTTTCGATCAGATTTCAAATTCTTTGAAAATTTCTAAAATTTTTTGCGAGGTTTTTTTCGCAATTCTCAAGGTTTGTCAGAAAAGAGAACGTCAGTTTTTTAGCATATCCAGAGGGGACTTCAAATGTTTCGTAATTTTGCCACGCGTAAAATCCTTTAAAACCATAAAAAGAAACATGAAAAACTGCAGAACCAGAAATCGTAAAGATAAATGCCAATTTACTGCCGGCCGAATCGGCAAAGCATGGCGCGCTGACGATCAGCCGGGAATACCGGGAATATTTGCAGCCGCCCCCGGGGGGTTGGCGCAGATGCTATCCACACATATCCGCGCAGCGCCGGGTCCGTCTGTGTGTGCCTACATGTCCTCACAGCGTTTCTCGCCTTTTTATGGTCCGGGGAGAGGGGAGAAGCCTCTCGACGCACAACCGCCCTCAGGTAGCCATGCGCACGAAGTGGGGGGCACCCCCCACTTGAACTGATGCTCTCGCCAATTTCGACCAGCTTGTCGTCCCTGTTGGGCTGCGCGCTGCGGGCCCAAGTGTACGAACAGTGTAGTCGAACAGGTCGTGGAAAAAAAGAGTATTTCTAGAAGGTAAGACTTTACTTCACCTCGCCCCCCAGCCTGAAGATCCCAGCATTTCCGACATTTTCGCTAGTTTTTCGGGGCTTTTTCGACACGATTCGACAGAGCAATATCAAAAGTTAGAGCAACAACGAAAATAACCATTGAAAATGGGTTTTTTTATATTAGAAAGGTTTTACGAAACGAAAACAAACTTTCAAAATTTTGAAAATGACGGCGCTTTCGTATTATCGACTTACTTTATGAATTCGGAAATATAGATTTCGACATTGATAGCAAATCCGGCTCGGCAGCCATAAGCAAAAAAGATAGCCCGAAGGTGTCCAGCCGATAGCCAATCGACCGACCGGGGATTGCCCCTGGGGCTGCGGTCCAGCGGGATTGTTGATCGAGAGCAAGGCGGTGACGAATCAAAAAAGCGGGCAGACCGGATTGAGTGGGGCAACGGGGAGTTTAGAAAAAAAATTGGGACATTGCTCTAGGCGTCACTAAACTATCCAACTTCATACACAAGCACGAAAACAAGCTCAGAATTAATTTCCGAGTCGAAAATCAAAACCCAGCGCAAGTTTTTCGTTTCAGAAAAAGTAAAGAAAATTTGGGAACGTCTGGCGGATTGGGCTGAGCTTTGAGAAGCGCTTCTTCCCCTCGCTTTATCGCGAAGAGAGAGAGAGAGAGAGAGAGAGAGAGAGAGAGAACTTCCTCCCCCGCAAAGGCTAACACATTCAATGTTGGCGTCCGGGAATGCTTTACCAAATTTGGTTCCCCCTCCGGCGCCCGGCAAAACATCACTTGTAGGGGATTTAACCATTTCAATTCTAGAGAAAACTAGGCCTAAAAATGGAAAATTGATTCTCGAACGCACCGAGCTACACGACTAGTGCGCCTCGTCAATCAGGAAGTTGCTAGCCCCCCAGCAGCCAGCAGCACGACGACTCAAATGTGTCGCGATCGTGTTGTGTGTAAGATCGAGGTGGAAAAGGAGGATGTAAAAAACGGCTGGCCGCCTCGCCTTTGCCGGCCGCCGACCCCACGGGGGGTAATGGGAGATGAACGGCAGATGACACATGACGGCGGGGCTTCCTCCCGTTGCAAAACCGGAGGCAGAGAACGGTTCGAAAAGAGAACTCAAACAGAAAAAAGCTGAAGAATTGAAATGCAGAACGGGGGGAGGGGCGGAAAGTCGCAAGGGCCGGCTAGGCTCTAGGGGATGGGGTTGGACCTGAAGAAACCCTAAAAAAGGTTCTTTTCCATTGTCGGGGCGGGGGGGTCAAGAAGTCTCTTAGTCTAGTAATGTAATAATAAGTGCCTTCATAGTGTCTTTAGAAAAATTTAACTAGACTTTAAGCGGCGAAACAATCAAAAATCGATAAAAAATTTTGTCGCAAAATCAGTATTTTTGTGTTTTAAAAATTTGTAAAGTTTTTAGGTTTGGGGACAGCAAAAAAAAGTTTGAAATTTAAGTTGAGAAACAATCACAATACAAAAAAGGTTAGTCGAATTTTGGTCGAGGAAGCGGATGGGAATTGACAACAATCCTGCGCTATTTAGGCCTCAACCAAGAAGTAAGGCGCGAAAAATGGGCACAAATTACCTAAAAAAAGGCAACCTGGGCTGTTGATCGGCCGGGCGCGCAAAAAATTCGATGCGGAGGCCCTTGAACACTGTCTATGCCCCCCTCACCCTAAATTCACCTTAGCTTTGGCGGCCGTTGGCTTGTCGGGCAAAAAAACAGGGAGCAAAGTAAACATTTTAGAGTGGCCGGCCCGGAGTGACGAATGTGAGAGGGATACCGAACCTCGGGTTGCGCGTGGGATATCTACAAAAATCAGTGGGGTGTTCGGGGCGTCCTAAAACTAAAAGCGGAGTTGATTACCATTAAATGTAGCGCTAAATGGCCCTAAAATCAACACAACTGCTCGCACAAAAGTGACAGTCGGATTTAAAGAAATGCTGAGTGCCCGTGGGGCTCTCGAGGCGGCGCACAGAAAGCAAAGGGGACCCATCCCGGATCCCGATCGGATTACTGAACTCTCAAGTGCCCCGAGCCCCCGCTTCCTCCCGCCGGAACGTTGCCCAAGAATGGGGGGCTGTAGATTCGATTCCGGGGTGCCGCCGGTGACGAGCCAGATTTGCAAGTGCGACCTATGGTGGCAGCACCGGCAGGGCCTAAAATTTCGTAGGCAAAAGACGCTCAGCCAACCCGGCATTTAGTTAGAAAAATAAAATTAAAGGTCCTAGCCAGTCAGGGAGTTAGATAAATAAAAAAGGGTAGCAACAATGTCCATCGCAACAAGGCGCCCAAATTTTCCCAGGACCAGAAGTTCAGCCGATCCGTCCAACATACCAGAATCAGAATAAAACTATTGACCTAGCCAATAGTCCGGGTAAACATCAAAAATTTAAGTCAACATGTCCCTGCTGTAACCCTACATCATTGCCGCTTCATCAGCAATTCATGGCTCGGGTCCCACCGGGCTCTCGGGTTCCAACTTATTCCGGGGCAAAAAAGAGAACGGCCAACGGATTGGCTGCCGGAAGTATGGAGAGCCGCATTAAAATCGAAGGAGGCGCATTCGGGCCCTCAAACTTGTGCGGGCGTGATAAGCGAACGGGAAATCGGTGTCAGGGGGTCCAAATTACTCATATTCGAAAATAGGCTAGTATTTGGAATTGTGCATGAGCTCATAACTGTTGCAAATAAATCAATTGAATGACTACCGCCTCCCATCACCTGATTTTTTCAGGCAAGGGAACACGGCTTGATCAGAAAAACAAATAGAAACCCATGCGCTTTTTCCGCAATTCCAAGAAAGCTGCGAAAAATTCACAAAATAACAATTTCACTTGGCTCACCTGAAATTTCTACAACCACTGCCGCCGAGTCGCAAGAAGTCCCGGGGTGCTGATCGAGCTCGTCATTGAAATCTGTAATTTTCGGCTAAATTTTCTCGATGAGATGGTCAAACTTGCATCGAATTTCGCTTACCTGTGTGAAATCCGTGGGCCAGTCTCTCGCCGACGATCGCGCTCTCTCTGCCCATAAAACCTGAAATGTTAATAGTTGTTAATAGCGTTAAAGCGGAATTGGGGAGTGACGTAAGAGATTGAACAGCCAAGAACTTTCTGTGAATTTCGAAGGGCACGCCATTTTAGGACCAATTGACAGCCCCCTCTCATCAGGTTATCAGCGTGAAAACGCGATCCCGACCAGAGACCGGAAGAGACAAAGAGCCGTAAAGAAAGAGGGTCGTTGGGGACCGGCGCGAATTCCAGGCCGTCCCATTGCCTCCTCGTCCTCCTCTCTGTGGGGCACATGGGCCCTTGGGGAGTATGAGGATGGCAGACAAAGACAAACAGCCCATCCCCGGTCGATTCGTTCACTTATGGACGCCGAAGTTACCAGCAGCCTACTTTTTGCTAAACGCCTTCGAAGGAACGGGGGCAAACGTTTCAGAATGACAGAAATATGACGTTTCCGCGAACAACGCGACAATAAATCGACCAATATTGTTGTGAACAAGTTTATCATATAGACCATCAACACTGAAAAGCCAACAAACACCGAAAAAGTTTGAAATCATAAAACGCAGGAATGAGCAAGGGGACAGCAGTGTCTGGGACCACCCGAGGAAAGAACCGGAGCAAATGATTTGGCAAATGTCAAACTAAAAATTGCAAGCAAGGGATGTATCCTTGAAAGCTAAAAAAAGACAGATTAAGGTCAAATGACCATCAAGTGCGTTAGTTCTATAAAAATATTCTCGGAATCTAGTCGTCATATATTAGAAATTTGGTAAGTTTCGTAATAAACTCTCAATGTTGTATTCTTGAAATTAAAAAAAACCAGGCTGAGAGCAAATGGCGATCGAGAACGTTAGTTCTATAAAATGTTCACGAAATCTAGTTGTCACAATAGGAATTTGGTAACTTTCGTAATAAATCCTCAATGTCCGGGCTAGCCTGTAAAATATCGAGCTCAAAGCCAAAATTCTAGTGATTGCAGATGATATCTACCCCGCTATTCTAATCAACACTACAAAAACCCTGTAAAAACAACAACGAATGGGAAATACTGAAAAATACATGGCATCATCGATAAAGGCCGTGTTGTTGAATGTAGGCGATGATCGGGTCGAGCACGGCGTACTTGATCGAGCGTCCGTCTTGGATGGCCGACCGGACACGTGTAGACGAGACGTCGCAGGGGCACACTTCGTCGCTGATGATTTGGGCCTGAAAAAGTGTTTGGAAATCTGATTTTCAGTTTCAATCTCGAAAAAAGCGATCAAAAATACCCGTTCGGCCGTCTCCTTCAAGAACGTCAGGTTGCCCAACGTCTCGCGCGGGTTTGACAGGCCCCGGGTGACGATGATGAGGCCGTAGTCGTTGATGATAGCTGAGATGTCGTTCGGGTGCCACAAATTTTCCCCTAGGAAAGTTGGTCTAAAAATTTTAAACAATTAGATACCATTCTCTAGGATCTTTGGAAAGGAGTCGACCAGGTCGCCGCCGCTGACCAGCATCAAGCGCGTTGCCTCGCCATGCCGCTCCCTAAAAAAAAGGTATCCAAAATCCTAGTGAATTTACCTGGCAACATCCTGATGATACTTGAGCACTTGTAGCGTACGCGTCCACGTCTTTTGCGAACTTTCCCAGCTAGAAAAGAAGGGTACCAAGGATTTTACTACTCACGAATCTGCGTGAATCCAGTCAGACGTGGACGCGGCAAGGCGAGCCATTTCAACCCTAAAATCCGTGTAAAAACATGAATATCGCGCGGAATACCGATGGATCGCGCTGGCCAGGTTCTTCTTGGCGTAGTTGTCGGCCACCGGACTGATGATACCCTCCACGACAGTGCACCTGAAAAATTTTTTGGAGACTAGGGACCAAAATTTACCCGAAAACCTTCTCCAGATGGTTTCTGGCCAGCTCGAACATGCGCAGATGCATGATCGTGGGCGGGTTGAAGGAGCCGACGCCGAGCAGGACGACCTTCGTGCCGCTCTGCAACCATTCGCGGGCCGCCATGGTTTAACTGACCTGAAATTTCGTTTTAAAGAAGCGATGACGATTTTTCTAGGCAGAACAGATCTAAATCTAAAAAGTAACATTAAAAATTCGCTAGGTTTGTAGCTGGCTAGCCCCTGTTCCCGAAATTTTAGTGAAAAAAGCTATCAAAAAGCTGAAAACAACTTGGAAATTCTTTTAGCGTCAAATTTTTCAGGGAGAAACGACGATTTCGAACGTTCAACAGCGAGCGATTCAAACGCCCCGGTTCGGAGCTTATTTGGTGGTGAAAGGGGGTGCGAACGGGATGGAATGATTCGTACACGACGGGCGAGGCTTGTGACACCACCCGGCCTTCTCCAACCCCACAAATAAGCTTCTGATAAGCCGCAATTTGTTATCTGAACTCCCAAAAATCAATCCCAGCATAAAACTAAATTTTTGGCAAACTTTCGCGAAATTCGGCGATTTCCACGGGCCGGTTTTTTCGCCCTCAGGATCCGTGAGTCCAGGGGCGCGCCTTAGCAGTGACAGCCGTTTATGCCGCGTAATGCAACTGATTACTCGATGTTTTGTTGAAAGAAAAACTATTTTAAGTGTAACAAACTATATTGCTTTGATCGCAAGTTTATTTTACCCATAATATTATTATACTAACGTTCACGAGGGCGCATTGCATATAATTTTGCAGGTCGACGCTTTGCAACGGGCCGCTCTATCCTTACTTTCTTGCATGTAGAAAACAAAATACTTGGAAAGCATCGTGCAGGAATCTACAGGAAGACAATATCAAGTATGTCGTCGAGTCACCTAGCTTCTTGGCTCGATCGCACGGCTACTACGAATGCTCCAACAATAAGCGCGACGCTGAAAAGCTTGAATATGACGAGGATGGATCAGGATTGACAAAGGCATTCTAAAACCAGATATGCGACTTGTGACTTGATGGTATTCAGCAAGAAGCTCTCAGGCCGCACTTCCAAGCGATGCACGATAAAAAGTAGGGGTTACTATGCTCACATTTGTCGAAAACGCAATTATGAAACGCTAAGGTTTTTCTGGGGAACGAGGAAGTTTTCAAACAATGGGTTAGACTGCCAGAATGCAAGTCCAAAACGTAGGCTGCCGTTCTTTCTTTCGAAAGTAAATTTCCGGTTCACACGGTTATTAGCGTTGTACCTTACGCTAGCGGGTATTGGGCATCGGCTGACATTGTGGAAAGCGAGCAGGATAACTGCACTGTCGTGGTTCCGAATTGCTCAGAGCATATTTTTACATATATAAAATACTTTCTTCAGAGGTGCCTGCACGATGCTTTCCAAGTATTTTGTTTTCTACATGCAAGAAAGTAATGATTGAGCGGCCCGTTGTAAAGCGTCGACCTGCAAAATTATATGCAATGCGCCCTCGTGAACGTTAGTATAATAATATTATGGGTAAAATAAACTTGCGATCAAAGCAATATAGTTTGTTACACTTAAAATAGTTTTTCTTTCAACAAAACATCGAGTAATCAGTTGCATTACGCGGCATAAACGGCTGTCACTGCTAAGGCGCGCCCCTGGACTCACGGATCCTGAGGGCGAAAAACCGGCCCGTGCGATTTCCGGATTTTTTCTGGGTTCCAAAGTGTACAAAATACAGATTGCGTAATTTGGATCGACCCGTTGCCGCGCGTAACGCTTTGTCAGAATTGATTTCTCTTGTGCTTTGATCAAAACAAAGTCATTTCTTCGAATCCTTTGCTTATATTTTTTTCAGGCGCCTCAAAATGGGAGGCCTTTTCTCAAAGAAGCCGCGCTCGCCGACGCCTATCAAGAATTGTGAAATCACAGAACAAGATCAAGCTATTATCGTGAGTTTTTTGGATGAGACACTTTATTGACATTTTAGAGATTGAAAACACAGCGCGATCGTATCAAGCAGTACATGAAGGGCAAGCAAAAATGTATGGATAAGGAGAAGGAGCTGGCGAGGAAGTTAATACAAGAAGGTCGAAAAGAGTAAGTTTCTGGCTTTCTAAGTTTGTATCATCCTTTCCAGTCGCGCTCTACTAATCTTGAAGAAGAAGCGCTATCAAGAGAAGACATTTGAGAATCTTCTTGCACAACTCTCGAATATTGAAACGATGGTTCGGCGGCTTTTCAAAAAATACATTCTTTTTCAGGTGAACGACCTGGAATTCGCGCAAATTCAACAGCAAGTGGTCAACTGTTTGTCGGACGGCAATGAGGCGCTGAAGAATATGAATAAGGTATATTACAGGCTTTTTTCGCTTATATTTATTCTAGCTGTTCGATATGGATGACCTTGAGCGGATCATGGACGAGACGAAGGAGGCAGCCGAATATCAGGAAGTGGGTTTCTTGACTCTGGCTTTTGGCAAATAGCTTGCCACTTTTGAAAGAAAGCGTTTTAAAATGTTTTGCACTATCTTGTTTTTCAGGAAATTTCCAATATGCTCTCCGGAAAGCTGGATGCTACGGATTTGGTCGACGTCGAGGCCGAGCTTGCGGCACTGCTGGATCACGAGGGCAAAATGCAGCTCCCCGACGTGCCGACGAATCCGATGCCGGAAGTACAGCGAGAACGAGGTTTATACTTTTTTCTTACAGCTTAGTACATTTTGTACAATTTTTTTCAAAACAACAGAGATATTTTCAAAATGCTCGTCCAAAATGTGCGAAAAAGCATAGAAATTTCAAGATTTAAAAAAGTCGTAGTTGATTTTTGTTTACTTTAAAAGTGGTTTGAGTTTAACTTTTACACTGCTAAAAAAAACTTATTTTGTAGCCAATTTAAACTACTAAACATTATGAAAATATTCATATTTTATGAATAGGCATCAATGTTCACCTCCTAAATTGAAAAAAAACAAAACACTTTATACTCCTTTCCAGAAGCCGAGGGCCGCAAGAAGGAGCGCGTCGCGTTGGAAGCATAAAGCCAGCAGCCGCCAACTGTATAATGGGATGGACATCGACAATGTATTTGCCTACAACCCTCTGTGATTGGTGCCTTGTAAATAATCGCTTGTGAATGTGCTATCTTTTCCGTATTTGCAATAAAGAACCTATATACGCTTCAACGTAATAATGATTTTAGGACTTTCTCGCAAGACGCTGGAGTTCGATCTGCGTGCGATTTCGAGCCCGAGCTATTTCCGGCACCGGCTTTTTGGGTGGGCGCAATTAGTATAAAATTTAGCGCGCTGCACCGATATTTACACACCTGTCGTTATTTTATTGACCCGCTCTCGACGCGGGTTTTTTTTTTCAGGGGGAGCACGAGCCTCAAAGCTTCAGCGCCCATTCGTGGCAAGTTGTGAACCGGTTCAACGTGATCCCGCGCGAGCCCATTGGCTTTCCCCCCCGCGCGCCATCCATCCCTGTTGTCACTCCCGAGCTTTCCTACTTTTACTTTTGCCGCCCGACTGTATTGTCGTGATTTCGAAACGTTATTCATTAAAAGCGGAGCGGTGCTAGGCTCTAATTACCTATGCGGCTTGGCCAAGGCTACAGCTTGAAGCCGAGAAAAAGCAGCTTCACCTGGATATCCCTAATCTTGTGCTTGTTCCGACTATCGGCAGCCAGGGATGAATTGCCAACGCGGGACGCCGAGAAGGGCCCCTATTTTTGTGGGGCGAACTCGGCCTCGGCGTGGGGATCGTACTTTATGACGTTGTCGTGCGACCAGGACTCGAGTGAGTTTGAAGCGCATAGTGTTTTACAATGTGTGTACGTTACAAATTTGTATAAAAATCTAGAAGAGCTATCGACTCTTCGGCGAAAAATATCCGGTTTTCGACTAATTTTGAATTTTTTCAAACGTTTTATGAAGTGTTCTAGATCGTTTTTCCTTTTTGCCTTACATTACTCTTACAAAAATTGCCAATATAAATAAAAAAATTGTTTCTAAATAGTTTGCAACTCTTCCTAACGCTAAAAACTTTACAATTTTTCGTCTAAAAACACAAAAACATAGTTTCTCAGCCAAACTTTCGAAATTTCCGAGATTTTTAAATATTTTTTAAAAGCGCCTTTTTGTATTTTATTAATTTTCGGTATCTAAACCTGATGTGTAATGAGTTTTAAAGTCAATTCCTGCTGCGCCGTTCACGACTCGTGCTATGCCACCTGCATCCTGCCGCAGATGGAGTGCGACGAGCACTTTTGCAATTGCTTGAAGAGCTTGCCAGGTATGGACGGGCCGAATTTTCTAGGGGAAAACCGCAAAACCCCGACATTCAAAATCCCGACAGCGAAAATACCGACAGGCAGAAACCCCAGCTTTAAAACCCTTGTTGGGTATAAAACGCCCGGAAATATCACATTTTTGCGGTCGGGATTTTGATTGTCGGGATTTTGGCTGTCGGGATTATGGCTAAAGTTCGAATTTTGTATTTTTGTATTTTTTGGGCGATAAATAACAACAGTGACCACCAAATTAAGGCTCAACCTACTGCCGAAACCTGGTGCACGCGTCGCACTGCTCGATGGTGCAATTCCTGGGCCACAGCTACATATGCCCGGCAAAAGCGCAGCCTCCCTTCAACCCGCAAAAGTTCATGCAGGCCGAGATGGAGCAACTTCCGGTGATCCCGAAGATCCAGCCGCTGAAGCCGTTCGTCGGGCCGCTGCCGTTTCAGGTTTGCCGAATCGCTAACGAATCGCTACTATTTTTGTTGTTCTAATTTCTCTAATATAAGTAGAGGAACTGATTTTTTTTCCCATTCAGAAACGTAAAAAATACTTTTTTAAATTAAACTGCAAAAAAACAGGGTTCTCAACAAAAAGAGGTTCTGGACTGTTAGCGGAGGGGGGAATCACTTTCTGTTTTTCCACCTGTTGATGTTATATTATGTATTTTTATAGTGTTTTAGTAGTTTTTGATTGTTAGAAAGATATGAGAATATGTTTAAAAATTTTCAAATCCGAAAATTTTGCCCTTTTTAGGTCTTTTTTCATAAATTTTTGACCAAAAAAATCAATAATTTTCGGCAATTTTTATTATTTTTTGTTTTTATGTCTAAAAATTATGTAAAATGCTATAAAAAATGTTTTACATTATGTTATAGGGTGTTAGAGAATCACTGGGAAAAATTTGGTCCCCCGCTAAAAATCACCCCCCGTAACAGTCCAGAACCGATTTGCCTTCAAAGGCCCTTTAAACAAGAAGACGATTCCGTTTCAGTACAATCGACGAAGCGAATACATGCCGTCGCCGATGGACCAATTCCAGCCCCACCACGTCTTCTCCATCAACAGCAACCTGGGCGACCCGTTTGACTTGCTGGTGGGGGCGGTCGGATCAGGATTTTCGTGGCTTTTCCCGACTGCGTTGGTCGTAATTTGTAATTTATGGTTGTTATAGTGCAAATTGATGTATAAATATGCAAAAAAACTATAGAAACAGCCCGAAAATTGTTAAAAAAGGCTATAAAACCACAAATAAGCCAATTTTCGGGTCAGGAAAATTCCGGAAATCAGAGTTCTAGCTTTTAAAATGGCAAAATAAGCCTTTTCAGCTATACCATAGGCCTAAAAATAGTTCAAAATAAATTTAAATGTATTTTATAGTGCATTTAAAACAATAAAAACGTGGCATAACTCGAGAAATAAGTTAAACTCCTTTATCCAGCAGCTTTCCATCGGATTTCCTGAAAATTAACAAATCACAAAGCAGGAAAACACAATTAGGATGTTATTTTGCAGTTATAAATATCACAGTATGCTAAGAAAAGTTAAAATATGATAAATAATGGTTAAAAACCTTAAATATAAAAATTTAACTTTTTTATTGACGCAAATTTACTTAATTTGTGTGTAGCTGAATTATTGCTGTGTACCTGCTTGGGGGGGGGCAGCCGCCAGTATCGATCACAACGTGGAAATAAATTATGGCCGGGGGCAGATCAAGGCACTAATGGTATTTTGGTTAGGCTTGGGCTTGGGCTTAGGCTTAGGCTTAGGCTTAGGCTTAGGCTTAGCCTGAGGCTTGGCTTAAGTTCAGCCCAGGAAAACAAAATAAAACGTTAAAGGACCTTTCAAGGCTAGAAATCCATGAGTATCGCCGGGTTAGACTTCTCCGACTTGAGCTTCTTGGAGAGCGAGAATTTGAGGCTGTCTTCTGAAAAAGCGGGTGGTGATAGAGAGACACAGAGAGAGAGACAGAGCCAGAGAGAGAGAGAGAGAGAGAGAGAGAGAGAGAGAGACAGACTCACTTTGTGGGTGGAAATGGCGTTGTCCGAGGTATTGTACAAAGTCCACCAGCGTACTCCGGTCCGTGGCAGTCACTTCGTAGAGACGTACTGAAAATTTGGCTTTAGAGGGGCGAGAGAGAGAGAAAGAGAGAGAGAGAGAGAGAGGAGAGAGAGCCAGTAGCTACTCACCTCGTTCCCGTTGCGCCCAAGCGTGTGCGAACTCAGAATCGACCTTCCGGCCGGGCTGATCGCACATCGTGCCCAGAACGACGATCGGCACCTCCTTCTTCTCTTTGCCGAACTGCTTCTCGATAAACTTCTTCAGCAAGTCCATCCGGTTGAAGGACTCGTGGTCGACGACGGAGTAGACGAGCACGAATGCGTCAGCTACCTGGAAAAACTGGTTTAAAGGAGCATTAAAGGCAATTTGAGCCCAGTTAACCCCAGCGACAGTGCCCCGTCTCATAAATCCAAGAAAGCGCCTCGGGGCACACTTCTGTTGCATCTGACGGGTCCCGCAACGGCTAAGAAACTAGGTTGGCTATTTGCCAAGGGTCTGGGGCCCATGGATTTGCCTTCAGTGGCCCTTTAAAGCCCCTACCTGTACATATGGTCGTCGTAGCTCGATGGGACCGTATTCCGGGATTCCGGCGGTATCGTGGAACACCAGGATTTCTCTGGGTCTGTCGGCTTCTTCGAGCAGGACTTGGTACGTGTCATCAAGTGTCGGAGCGTAGGGCTGGAAATTGTGACAATAAAGAATTCCTGCAAGCCGGCCCTTTGAGCATCTCTGCTAGCCTGCCCTCTCCCAAAGAATCTCTGCTAGCCTGCCCTTCCTAAAGAATCTCTGCTAGCCTGCCCTTCCTAAAGAATCTCTGCTAGCCTGCCCTTCCCAAAGAATCTCTGCTAGCCTGCCCGCTCCTCATCGTCTCCCAAAAACCAACCAATTTTGTCGCATCCTCCAAACAGGCAACCTGCCGCAGTATCGCCGTCTTGCCGCAGCGTTTTGCGCCCACAACGACGACCTAAATTTTGCATAGGTTTTGACTACTTTTGTATATCTTAAATTTTTGCTTAAATTGGTGTTAATGAACTGAATTAAAATAAAACTCACCCTCATTGCTCCGCGTCCCATCCAGCGAGGGGCATCAGAAGGCGTCGCACTCGACGACGCACTAATCGACACCGGGGCGGGCCCGGCAGAGCTGTGGAAGAGGGAGGAGGAGCGGGAGTTTCGTCTATCTGGAATCGGGGCAGGCTAGCAGAGATACTTTAGGAAAGGGCAGGCTAGCAGAGATTCTTTAGGAAAGGTCAGGCTAGCAGAGATTCTTTAGGAAAGGTCAGGCTAGCAGAGATTCTTTAGGAAAGGGGAGGCTAGCAGAGATTCTTTAGGAAAGGTCAGGCTAGCAGAAATTCTTTAGGAAAGGTCAGGCTAGCAGAGATTCTTTAGGAAAGGTCAGGCTAGCAGAGATTCTTTAGGAAAAACTATCGTTAATGCTGAAAAACCCACTCTTCTCCTGCGTAGGTGAAAGAAGCGAGGCCGGGTAGGAGTAACTGCTTGGCGACGGGCCCTCGATACACAGATAGTCGGCTTCTGAAAAGTGGTAATTAAGAAGTTACATAACTTTAGGAATTTTTTTCTTTTCTACAGTAACCCTGCGTATCGTAGCGTACTGGCTGTTGGGGCCGAGTCGATGACCCCCGGGAATCCATAGGGCAACGACTTCTGCCGATGCAGCGGGGCCGAACAGCAGAATTTTTGGGTCTGATTCCGGACGGCAACCATCTGATTAAGAGGTAAATGAAGAGAGAGAGAGCGAGAGAGAGCGAGAGAGAGAGAGCGCGAAACATTGCGAAATACAAAAATCCCAAAACTGCAGGGCTGGAAATAGTGAGGGAGGGCAGCGGCGTGTCGGTCCGTCCCCACGGAAAAAGGGCCACATTTTGGAGGCCATTGTCAGCGGCGACAGACAGACAGGGAAACAGGCAAACAGACAGAGAGAACCCCCCAATACAATAACGCTCATGTCTTTCGAGCCGACGCGCGTACCCGGGGCGCCGCGCGCGACGCGTAAAATCGACCGCCAAATGGGCTAATATTTACCGGGGCGACGGGGTGGGGAGATGAATCAGCGGGATGAGTACTGGGGGTAGGTATCAAAAAAATAAGGTAAGTAGGCGTTCGAGTTAAGCCTACCTAATCCTAAGCTTAAACCTAACCAGAAGCCTAAGCCTAAGCCTAATCTAAGCCCGGACCTAACCGAAACCTACACCTGGCTAAATCCTACGTCAAGCTAGGACTAAGCTTAAGCGTCAGCCTAAGCCTGAGTCTATGCCTAAGCCAAGCCTAAGCTTAAGCTTGTAGCGCTAAAGAACACCCTAAAGCTTCCGCTGTCATCAAGATACCTCTACAGTATGACAAAATCTGCCCTCTGCCTAGTTAATACGAAGCCTTCACCTTTAAACCAAAAAAAGTTCGGGAAAACGATAAATTTACAATCTTAATTCTAAAAAAGTAAAAGTCAGTTTGTTAAACGGGGCTAGCTTGAAAAGGTATAAGCCCGAAATCCTCAAAAAAAAATTCAGGGCTGATTCACCGCCGCGTTGTGTCGAAAATCGCTATGGCGACCCGGGAAAAGCACGAAAAATGGGCCAAAATGGGAAATAACGCGCATTGTGTGTGCTGGCTGCAATTCGAGGCAACGGACAGGGCAGACAAAATATTAGGAATAGAGAGAGAGAGAGCGAGAGAGAGAGAGAGAGAGAGAGAGAGAGAGAGGGAGAGGGAGGGGGAGAGCGAGAGAGATGAGAGAGATCGTCTAAAAGAGCCTGCAAGTCAAAATATCCCTTCAAACGGTCGAAATTCATGTAAATAGGGGATTATTTTTGGGGGTGACGATTTGATGGCTGCCGGGGAGTTAGGAGCGGGTGGGTTGTTAGCGAGAGAAAGAGAGAGAGAGACAGAGAGAGAGAGAGGCGAGAGAGAGAGAGAGAGAGGGAGAGGGAGGGGGAGAGAGAGGGAGAGAGATCCAAAAGACTGGTTCCGGGAGTGACAGCCAGCGGCTGGGGGGATAGCCGATGACTGGCCTGCAGTCCTTCAAAAACGCGATCCGGCACAACAAACAATTCTGCTGCTGGCACGCTGCCTTTAAAAGGTCCACAGGGTTCTCTGCTAGCCTGCCCTTTCCTAAAGAATCTCTGCTAGCCTGCCCTTTCCTAAAGAATCTCTGCTAGCCTGCCCTTTCCTAAAGAATCTCTGCTAGCCTGCCCTTTCCTAAAGCTTCTCCACCCACCGTTCCCAAAGCTCTCCTCCAAAAAGTAGACGGATTGCCGATTCTTCTGTCGGATCGACCCTTCCGGCTTCTCGTCCCCCTCACCGCTTTTGGAAGGGAAGAGGAAGGCGGTGATCGAGTTCCTAAATAGAATATTTCTTCAAATACACTAAAAACCCTTGGCACCAAGCCAGTGGACCCAAAGTTTAACTATTTTCATGATCACGGGGCTAGCAGAGATTCTTTAGGAAAGGGCAGGCTAGCAGAGATTCTTTAGGAAAGGGCAGGCCAGCAGATATTCTTTAGGAAAGGGCAGGCTAACAGAGATTCTTTAGGAAAGGATAGACTAGCAGAGATTCTTTACGATTACCATAGCCTCTCCCGCCGACTAATGACAGTCATCGCATAACCTCGTAATCGATTAGAACAGTTATGGAAGAGGTCAGTTTCTAACTCGAAAAACGCCCCGGCAGAACCCGGCAAAATCGATAGATTCCGATTAGCATAAGTAGCAAGCGTGACTCTGGTGAAAGTGCGAAAAATCTGCAAAATCCATTTCCCAAGAAGATTTTGAAGCTTGTGCCACACCTGCGCCCATATTTCCTGAGCAACTGCCAGGCGGCACTGGGTCTAGTTTTTAGTTTTTTTTTTAGCTTTGCCGACTTTTAAAGGGGCATTGAAGGCAAAATGTAGCCCCGTTTGTTCGATCTTTGGACCCAAGGCAGCCCCCAAGGTACAGTACGTCAATTGTGAATCCAAAAAATGGCTCTGGTCACAGAGGCTAAACGGGGCGGTTGGCTGATTGCCAAGGGTTTAGGGGCTATGGATTTGCCTTCGATGGTCCTTTAAAATGACGAACAGCGCGCTTACCTCCGATTCACCGACGGCTTCTCCTTGTCGTCGCGGAAAACGACCGGCGAAAATGGGGATGTCGGCTGCTGGACGCTCGCTTTCCGTCGGGCGCTTTTTTCTTAAAAAAAATGGATTTTTGAGTTTCTTAAAAATCTTTGCTAGCCTGCCCATTCCTAAAAAATCTCTGCTAGCCCGCCCTTTCCTAATGAATCTCTGCTAGCCTGCCTTGTGTTAGAAGGCCCCGGGCCAGCTTTGGGTACCACCCTGATTGGCTGTGGCGAACCCTGACCCTCTTTCCCTTGTAGGCGCCCCGTCCACACGATCCCCCAGTGCCGCATTAGCTCAGTTGGTAGAGCGTCAGACTTTTAATCTGAATGTCAGGGGTTCGAGCCCCCTATGCGGCTAATCGCTTTTTTGCTTTTTGCCAAATTGCTCGAGGGTTTGATTTTGATCAGTAACCCATAAAAAGCCAGTTCTTTTTTTAGTTTTTCGATATGTTACTCATGAAATTGCTTTTTTAAGAAGTTCGGTTCTTGTGTATTATTGTGTATTCCCGGGGGGGAGGAATTCCCGGGGAAACTGAACTTTTTTTTGGCCCAAGCCTAGATTTTTTATATAAATAGTGGAAGTGTTTCTAAATTGTTTATTGCTATTCCTCAACATAAAAACTTTACAAAATTTAATTAAAAAATTTAATTTTAGGTCGAAAAATCGATTTTTTTCGGCCCAAAAATGACCAAATTTTCGACTTTTTCAAGCGTTTTTCTAACTTTTTAAAAAGATTTTCCGATTCAAATCGGCTTAAATTTTGTTAAAAACAATGTGAAAACACTTTATATTTGATTACTATCCCCACCAGGCCCGACAAAACAAAGTTGGTTTCCCCCGGGAATACACAAGAACCAGAAGTTCTTCTCGACTAGTTCGATGATCAATGTTCTTTTTAACTTAGGAACGTTTTTAAGCATTTTAAAGTTAAGGTTTTGTCATTATAAATTTTAAAAGACCACTGAAAGGAGACCGCAAAATATATAAGGCTCACCAAAAATCCCCGTCTCCCCATGGTTATTATTGTTGGTAAGGAAAGCGAGGGACGAGTTCCGCCGGCTCTCCACCACCGACTTCTTCATTCTGGAGATGGCGACAGCCATTTTAAAGGCCCAGGAAAGTATTGAATAAAGAAAATCGATAGATAGGAATGGATTAAGGTAGAATATATAGGAGCGAATATATCAAAAATACCGGGGGCAAAGATGGGTGGGGGCAGCCAAAAGAAATCTGATGAATCACCGGGACCGGGGGGCTGCTGGCCCGCTAAAATGGCCACCACCCCCGCCCACCGGCAAGGAAAATTGATCTATTTTTGAGCCGGGTAGGTGACAAAAATTCTTAGAATTTTTTGGGAAGGATTTTCTTGCAATTATGATGCGAATTTTGTTAATTTTTATGGTTGAGCTTCACAAATCCAAAATATGGCTCCATTTTAATTTTTTTTTGAGCTGGGCATGGGCTTAGGCTTGGGCTTACGCTTAGGCTTTAGACTTAGGCTTCAACCTAGGCTTAGGCTTAGGCTTAGGCTTAGGCTTAGGCTTAGGCTTAGGCTTAGGCTTAGGCTTAGGCTTAGGCTTAGGCTTAGGCTTAGGCTTAGGCTTGGGCTTAGGCTTAGGCTTAGGCTTAGGCTTAGGCTTAGGCTTAGGCTTAGGCTTAGGCTTAGGCTGGCGCTTAGGCTTGAGCTTAGGCTTAGGCTTAGGCTTCGGCTTAGGCTTAGACGTAGGCTTAGGCTTAGGCTTCGGATTAGGCTTAGACGTAGGCTTGGGCTTAGGCTTAGGCTTAGGCTCTGGCTTCTGCTTTGGCTTCAGCTCAGACTTAAGCAGAGCCTTAGGCTTAGTCTTAGCCTTGGCTTCCAATAAAAGATCGAACAAAAAGGATACATTCTTTCTACCAAAAATCTCAAAACTGCTGCTCAAAAAGTGCACAGCGGCCAAAATTCCCTCGGCGTGGGTTGAAAATGCAAATTTCCGCGGAAAACCAGGGTAGGGAGGAGAAACTAGTGCTCGGTGTGGGTAGGGGAGAACGAGCCTCTTTTTCCGGAGCGACACGCTAAAATGGATGCGTCTGCCGGACCGCCCGGATGGCTTGGCAAACAGTTTTTGGAGCTATTTTAGTGGTGTCGCCAAAAGAGGAGGGGACTTTAAAGGGCCGGTGAAGGCAGCATACAGCTCATGAATTTTCGGCCCAATGCAGGAAGCAAGATCGGCCGAATCTAGGTTAAACCCTGGCGGGGTTATACGATTTCGGTAGGATGGGGAAGGTAATTAACGGGTTGCAAAAGTTTAGGGGCGCCCTAAAAGGGGCAGGCTGGGGGCTAGCAGAGATTTTTTAGGAAATGGCGGGCTAGCAGAGATTTTTTAGGAAAGGGCAGGCTAGCAGAGATTTTTTTAGGAAATGGCAGGCTAGCAGAGAATCTTTAGGAAAGGGCAGCAGCTGGGTCTCGAAAGTCGAAACTTTCGCTGGAAAACAGAGATTTGGGTGACTGATAAGCTGAACAAAGAGATGAAGCGGCTTGGGGCCAGTCAGAATTCTCTCTCTCGCTCTCTCTCTCTCTATCTCTCTCGCTTGCCCTCTCACCCTCTCTCGCTTTTTCTTCGCTTTTTGAAAATGAAGGGAATGTCTGAGTCAGAATTTGGCAAGTTGCCTTATCAAAATTGGTACAGTTTTCTGCAGAAAGTTAATTCTGACTATATTTTGTATCAAACTGTATAAAAAAGGTTTAAAACTGAAGCTCAAACACTTTTTAACCATTTTTCGATATTATGTCTCTGGGCTACGGGGACCCACCGGCGCCCCATCATCGATAAGCAACCACCAGCACGCACAATAGGCCCATTCATAAAACCGGGAAAATATAGGAAATTCCGGGAATTTGTTTTGGCGAATAGTGGGGAAAGGGCAGGCCAGCAGAGATTTAGGAAAGGGCAGGCTAGCAGAGATTCTTTAGGAACAGGCAGGCTAGCAGAGATTCTTTAGGAAAGGGCAGGCTAGCAGAGATTCTTTAGGAAAGGGCAGGCTAGCAGAGATTCTTTAGGAAAGGGCAGGCTAGCAGAGATTCTTTAGGAAAGGGCAGGCTAGCAGAGATTCTTTAGGAAAGGGCAGGCTAGCAGAGATTCTTTAGAATATCTTTCCTTTCTTTTCCTCCTTTTCCCCTTTTCTTTTTTTCTTTTCTTTTTTTTTTTCTTTAACCTGCTGCTTTCTGCTGCTACTCTTTCTCTTTACTGCTTTCTTTATATACATGGCGTATATGTTTGGCGG